CTTCTCTTTTATACCACCTTTGATATGTCTTTTATAATTGTTGTATAAACGAGTCAGTCTTTGTGCATTTACATACATACAACTTTCTTTTTGAAAAAAATTCTTCCTCTGAAGTTTAAAGGAAATGGTGAAATTGAAAACGTGGTCATGAGATAACATTTGCATGTGAACTTCAGTCGGTTGTCATTTATGAAAACAAAAAAATAAGGATAAGGAATATTATGTACTTAGGATGTCTTTTGTGCGTTGGTAGCAAAGCGGTTAGGACGCTCGCCGACCAGGCACATGGTCCGGGGTTCGATCCCCGGCCGGCGCACTCCTTTACCTCACTAAGTCAGAAATAGTGCTGGTAAAGAGGAAAGGTTAGGCATGAGGCTAGGAATTCCATCGTGTAAAAATTGAACCCTGCTACGGGAACTTCAAGCCACTAGCTTGAGGTCCACTGGGAACGTGAAGGGGAAAAAAGGTCCTCCTTCCGAGACGACGACAGAGGCTTAAAATATGGTGTTATTATTTCAATGTGTCTACACTTAAAATTACTGCAGATAAATAATTGAATTAGCAAGTATATATATACATAGCTGTTTGGGACCCTTCAGTGGTACGCACCCACCGCCAGGGTTCGAACCTAGGAGCTTCTGGTTACAAAGTCAGTGAGCTCGTAGACCATTAAGCCCCTGGGACCTGATCCAATGGCCAGCTCATGAATTCCAACTTCTTCCGATTCATGAAATAGTGTGACCACTTCACACTGTCTTCTTCTATGTGTTACTGTTTCAGTTTCACCTTATTTTAATTATCACACAGTGATGATGCATTATTAACAACTGGATGACATTTTAACCATAAATTATCACTTATAATAATATCAATTTAATCACACGTTTTCACAGTTTGTCTTATGTATATTTTTCTCTCTTTTCTGTCTCTCCAACTTTCCTTTGTTGTTTGTTGCCATATCTCCGGTATAGGTGTAGAATAAAACGAAAACAAGACGGTGGGGGCTAGATACTAGCTAGCATTTATAGGAAATCGACACGCTCTAATAAATACTTAGATGTTAATTTATCCCATCCAGAATTGGTAAAGATAAGTTTAGTTAAATGTCTTTATAATCGGGCCAAGAGCTTAACTAGTAGGCCAGAAGATTTAAATAACGAAATCAAACAAATAAAGGAAATATTTCTAGTGAATAACTAACTACCCACCAGAATTTATTCAGAAATATATGAAGAATCATAGAAAAACTAAGACTAGCAATAAAAGTGACGAAAATAATATAGAATTCAAAGCCTTTAGAAGAAAGGTCTCTGAAGAAGGGATGTCAGAAGCCTTACGTGGAATTCTCACTGACGCTGGAATTAGGGTGGCATTTAAACCAAACGACTGACTCTCTCAGAGATAAACTTTGTCGACTTAAGTACCCAATAGATCCGATTAAGAAAAATAATATAATGACTGTGAGGTCAATTACGTAGGTCAAACTAGTAGATCAGGGTCAACTGTGGATTATTGGAATATAAAAATTTAGCTAGACCTAAAATAATTGACTCTGCTAAGTTAAAAATAACCTAGAAAAAAGCTCAGCCATTGCATTGCACTGCATTCACTTGCATGTAATCACACACCATAGGGTTGAGGGTATTAGAAAGTGATATAGTTAGGTGGAAAGACAGGTTAATCACTGAAGCTTTGTTTACTGTAGTGATTCAGCACAGCACACGTGCAATCGGAATGACTCAACACCTATGCTGGAGATATGGAAAGTTGGAGAGACAGTACGAGAGAAAAATATATATAGGACAAAATGTAAAAACGTGTGACTAAACTGATATTATTATGAATAATAATTTATGCTCAAAACCTTGTCGTCCAACTGTTAATACTGCATCGCTGTGTGATATTTAAAATAAACTTATCTAATATGGAGTTACATTCTACCACAGTGTCCAAGTACTAACTACACTTACATTAATTGACTTGCGTTGTTTGTTTGTTTGTTGTGTTCTTAAGTGTAAATGTATAACCTCTGTCTCTCAACTTAACTGTTTTACCTTTCAATGCGTTTCTCCTAACCCCCCACCCACTCTATCATGTGATGATGATTACATGTGAATCAATGCACTGCAATGGTGAATAAGGCATATGTTTTTTTGTCTAGATTACTTATCTTACAACAGCGTCTATCATTCTAGTTCTAGCTAAAAATGCCTATTTCATATATGATAATCTAAATGACTAATTTAACCAATGTAAAATTGACTTCAAAATCATTACATGGCTGTTTGTTTGTTTTTTGGTAAGTTGTACTATTTCTCCTAATTGAATGTCTATCGGGTCCTTAAAAGTCGATAAAGTTTGTTTCTTAGTGTGTTGGTTGGTTGGTTGGTTGTTTTTTAAATGTCATCCTCATTATCTAGCCTTATGAAGAATCCCATTTATATATATGACAGTAGTATATTGAAGCTTTAAATTCTTAATTATTTATATTGTACATTTTCATTGTTTACATTACTACTCGGATTTTTCTGATAGGTCTTCATATATTTAGAAAAAATAAAATAAAATCTAGTGGGAATGCATTCATTCACTTATATGTAATCGCACAATAGAGAGTGGGAAAGGGTTAAACGTATTAAAAAGTAATATATAGATAGATAGTTAGAAGTTAATCATTGAAGCTTTGTTCATCAAATCTACACCGAAAGCACGTACAAATCAAAATAATACCCCACATATCCTGAATATATGGAAAATTACAGCGTAAGGCTGTATATCAGGCAAGTCAAGAAGTCGTGTGAATAAATTGATGCAATTATGAGGCAACAAGGCATTTGACCACCCCAGGATGAACATACTGCTATGTGATTTTGATGAGTTCCTCCATGTTAAAAGAAGGTCGTCAGGTGAAATACGCTCTGGGCTTTGTTATGCTGAAGGGACAGCATGTCGTAACCATGCATGCGTGTAGATGGCTGTTCACCTCCTGAAGATGCTGCACATGTCCCACTCCCTACAGCTGGTGGTTGGTTGGCTAAAGTGACTGGTATTGTTGTTGGCCGTAGTATGCCTCTTGCAATGCCTACCTCAGCTATCGCTCTCATGTTCCCTTATGATTTAGGAGGCCAGTTTGGGGGGTTGCAGCACCAACATCAGGTCTGGTGAGACAACGAAAGCTTTGCAAGTAAACCTATCCGCCTCAGATAACCCAACTACGCCGAAATCATCCATCTGAACTACAGATCTTCTTCACTGTACACTAGTCATTATTTGCCAAGTTCGAAATTTACTCCATCCACTAACCAGACAGTATTCAATTAATACCCAGAACATGAATATGACTCATATTTGTGTATTCTCTCATTGAATCTTATTGTTCGTGGTATATGAGATCGAACTAAATTTGTCATATTTCATCTCTTATTAATCTAGAATAACAAAGTGAACTTTAAGTCCAACATTATTTGGATTATGTGCTTTCTTTGAGTTTCCAGTTTTTAAGAAAAAAATCAGAATTAGTTGATGGTATCTGTAGTTAAGCTGTGTAACCATGGCAATATAACTTTCAAACTTGTTTCATAAATAAGCCTACACGCATATAGGAGCTATATATGAAGTTAAGTAGCTAACTGGATTTTATTATTATTGTTATTATTATTCCATTGGATTCCTAGTGGAACCTAGGGTTTCAACAGCGCATCGTCGTTTCACTCTGTTCTCTGCAGTCTTTCTAAGCTGGTTCCGCGATTGACTGCCCTCAGACTTTCACTTCCTCCTCATACAGTCTGCTTCATGTCACGCTCAAACCTACGCCTAACTTATCGTTTGCCGTTAGTATTCCACCTGATTGATTACTTGGCGCGTGAGGTCACTCAGTGATGATCTTCTAAGCGTATGTTCAAACTGCCTCCATTTCCCTCTGCATAATTATCTTGCGAGTCATAGGTTTTTTGGTTAGTTCACTGCCACAATTCCTTTTCGCTTGCTTATATTTTCTGATCATCTGATCTCCATTATTGAACAAAGGCAGTTGTTGATGAAGACCTGCATTAGACTGTTGGAAATGATTTTGGTGACACGTGCACCAAGTCTCTGAACCCTTTACATACTTGGCATTAGTGTTAAAACTCCTGATCATGTTGCTGAAGCTGAGCGCAGTAGAGATATCCACACTAATTACAGGGTAATGAAGGCCAGTCTTGTTTTTCTGACCCTGCCTTGATATCTTCATCTATTATGCCTCCCTTATTTAGAACAATACTGCGTAGATTTCCACAGTTGATGACCAAGCATACATTCTCTTTCTTCATTTTTCACTGAGCTTTGTAGTATTTCATATTTCTCCATGTGTAGTTATTATTTCCTGCGCTATATAGAGAGTTGCACTTGTCTGCAAAGTTCCACGTGTTGAAAATCCAAGTATTCAGTCATTTGTCGAATGTGTATATTCATCCAATCTAGTCTTCAGGAGGCTTTGATTTTAGCAACAATCGATGTACAGAAGACTGTAATTGTGAATTAGTTTATCCTTCAATTCTAGTAGAATAGTATGCTATATTTGAAAGACAGTGTACTGATGCACATGATTGTGTCCATTTCTCATATATACATATATATATAATATATATATATATATATATATATATATATAAACTGCATAAGATAAAATTCTACAGTGGAATAATGTTAACTAATTTTGCAGAGCAATACAGTATTATTTATTCACTAAGCTTGAAGTGGCATCAGTAAATAAGCATAATATAGTTCAACTCAAAAAAAAAAACTGCAGAAAACATAGTGTGAAATGGAGTTGTACTGCTGCTGAATTCCTATATTCTGTCCAGAACCACCAGGGGAATAATAATCGCCCAATTGTTTTTTTTGCTATTTCAAACAAAATTATATGTCGGAATCTTAATTATACACTTGTGTAATTATTATCGTCTCATTATAGTTTATTTAGCATACATTTCCTGTTATTTTTCTTTCTCTTTTTAAAGACTATTTATGTTAGTAAAATAACTGAAGGCGGAGCTGCTCAAAAACAAGGTCGGATTCAGATTGGAGACCAAATAATTAGTGTAAGATAGCCTTTTTTTGTGTTGATCTGATGTGTGTATTGATACATGGATAGGTGAATTTTCCTCCTGTTCTCCATGATTTATTGTGAATAAATATTGTTTCCTTTTACTTCAGTGTACATACAACTGCGACCTACGCATTTTTATTACATTTATCTTATACTACTAATATGTAGAGAGTAGTTAATGTTTGTCTTTCGTAAATTTTACAAAAAACAAAATCGTATTTAAGTATGCGGTAACCCGTTCAGTTTTTGTAAACCCAACAATATATATATATATATATATATATATATATATATATATAATATAGATATTATTTAGTGCTAAACAGTCACAAAAGCCAAACAGATAGTTATGGGTATTATCAGTCAACAAGATTATATCCACAGATTCAGTGTTTGCAAGTAAAATAATTACAATAAATTCCACAGCTTCCTGTCCAGAAATATCATAGAAATATGAGTTTTAAGTAACTAAGCAAAAGTAGTGTACTAATCGAAAAGCGCCTCAAGGTCGTTTGGGCCATCTGAACTTTGTCGATGATATATGTATGATTTCCCGCAAACTGGAAGATATGCAAGTGAAAAGCAACAAGTTGGCGATAGAAGAACAAGCATCCTGGGAAGATAGGAAGGACTTCAGGTGAACATGGAGAAAACAGAGGTGATAAAGACAACAATGTGCATAAATGAAAAGAATCTGAAAGAAGCAACGTACTACAGGAGGAACTGACGAGGATATCAAGGCGAGGATCGGGAAAGCCAGGCAAGTTTATATTATTCTCAAGTCTATGTGGAGGTCAACAGCACTCAGCATCAAAAATAAGATCCGGATTTTCAACTCCAATGTGAAGTCAGTGCTACTTTATGGATTAGAGACTTGGCGCGTCATGAAGAGCATTTCCAACAAGCTACAGACCTTCATTAACAGCCGTCTTCGCTCAATACTCAAGATCAGATGGCCGGCCAGAAAAGATCAGCAACAGAGATCTCTGGCAATGAGCGAACCAACCAGGAACCGATTGTGAAACAAATTGACAAGAAGAAATGGAGATGGATTAACCATACTCTGAGGAAACCATCAAGTGACATCACTAGACAAGCCATTGCTCGAGTGGAATCCGAAAGGGAAGCGGCGAGTTGATGATCAGTGCAAGGGTGACACGGAGGAGGTCATGCGACGAGGGGATGAAAACATGTGGGCAGACTTGGAGCCAGGTGAAAACGTTGGCAGAGAACCGAACACAATGAAGGCGCGCGACTGAAGCCCTATATTCCTCTAGGAATTAAAGGAAACAATAATAATAATAACATGTTTAGCTTAAAACTATTTTTCACTCAGGTTCTTGACAGTTCGCATGTTAACTTTTTTTTACTGACTGAATTACGTTTTAAGCACATGTATTTATTCTGTACTATACCAATGCAGTTTCATAATTTTTTCTACTCACAATAATATACACGCATTGACTTCATATTGCCGTAGGATCACAGAGGTTTTGAACCTTTGGTTTCAGTCCTAGAACTATTTTACTGGTATTCCAACCTAAATTCGAAGTTTGACGACTACAGGAGTTTTCCAAAGTAGAAAAATAACTCAGCGAACAATAATAAGATATAAAGCAGACATGAATTATCATCTCGCATTAGAGATTTTAAAATAATTGCTATCAATATACAATAAAAGCAACCAGTTACGTTCAGGATAACTGATAAAGTTGTGAAGAATTCTTAAAGTTTACTTCATACTGAAGTATGCGCTAAGGATATTGTCTCGTAAAAGAAAATAATGAAAGCTTAGCAACTAACCACCATATTAAAGAGTATATGTTGATTATAGCTCACATTTTCAAATGTTGCATCATCTTAATTGATGTATAAAAGTAATAGGAGTCTGATCTGTGCTATTTCTTGTTTCACTCACTATTCGTTTAGATTTTTGGACTATATATGTATGCTTATTTCTCATCTGTGTTATTTGAAAATTTCATTTAGATAAATGGCGTTGATGTTAGGAATGCTCGTCACGATGAAGCTATTTCACTATTAACTGGTTCTCAGTCTGTAGATGTTGAACTGCTTCGTTATACTACTAATACTACTACTACTACTGATGACAGTGGTACTTTCAATGGTCTCTCAAAAACATGTAAGCTTTTTTTTTGTTATTATAAGTAACCCGATGATGGATTTTTTTTAAAGAAACTGCTGGGAATTTGTTCGTTTATAGTTGATGATAAATATATCGAGGTGACAAGGACAAATAGTTAGGTGAGTGGTACATACAGTGTGTGTATTTGTACAGGCATACTGTCCGTCCAGAGAATAAAAGTGTAATAAAGAGCCCGAATGTATGTCAGGGGTTCGACTCCCGGTCGGTCCACTCCTAAACCTCGCCTAGTTTACTGATCGCGATAGTAATCCTGTAAAGGAGAGGGTAAGTAGTTGTGAACATGAGGATGATAGCAACCCCACCCAATAAGAAATAGTACTTCTACTGAAACTTCAAGCATACAACTGGAACAGAAGGGATTGAAGAAAAACGGTCTGGGTTAGGTAGATGACATATTAATGAATTTCTAAATAATGTAGAGTTTTGTAATATGCAAATGCCGATGTATTCAAGATGGTAAGAATCATTACTCACAAAAAAACAGCGTTGGTTAACTGACGCAGTTTCAACTTGGAACATTGCACACAAGTATAGCAGTTCAAGTTGCCACACTCCATGAAAAGATTCAAAAAGTAGAAAATTGAGAGAGAAAGAATAGTAACATGGATAAACGTGTTAGGGTTTCAATGAATATGGCAGACAACAAAGAGTGAATGCATCTATCTCTCATTGAGAACGATTTTGAGCCTTATCACTAACTGTCTCCAGCCATTGGCTCTTAGCATCTACATCTCTCGACGTGGCTTAAACTAGCTGTTTGGTTTGACCACCATTAGCTCTTTTCCAACCTCATCGATCCTATGTCAGGAGCTAACATTGCCCGTCAAGGAAGGCGATGTCTAGGCATGCCTAACACACGTCCTAACCAGCTCAATCGATGTAGCTTTACAACCCTATCGATTGACTTTCCCTCCTTGCCTAGCACTCGACCGATGCCTAACCTCAATATTACTCACCTTATTATACCGCCTAACACTTATGATCAAAGATAGCCGCCAGCCTTTGCATATATTCCACTTTCAATGGCCATGTCTGACAGCCAGCCATAAAGGGAAATGGAGCGAACTGGTGGGAAGTATACACACTCTTTGCTCGATAGACGGATATATCAGGTCTACCAAGCCAGAGAATGACATAATTCATTATAATGAAGGTTTTTGTATTTCCCAATGAATGAAAAACAAAAGGATATTTTTCATTCATATACCCAATGCCCAAAATTTTTCAAACTGTTAAAAGTGAACTTGGTTTGGACATATATATAGAGAGAGAGATGACGTAAGTTGGCAGATGCAAAACAACAGTGCAGTCTTAGTTTTTTTACATTTATTTTTGATTCTTTATCCATAAGCTAAATTTGTTAATTAGTGAATGTAACTATTTTGTTAGTGTTTACACATTATTTTGATTTAATGCTGTTTTTATTTTCTTTCTTTCTTTTTTCTTTTGACATATTTCAAAACTTAGCTAATGGTTTTATGACATCACCGTCAATACCGAGTATCAAGAGATCGGATGATTTTAAAAATACTACAAAGTCAGGCGATCTTGTTAATTCAGACAGTTTTATTTCTGGAAAGTCTGATTCTCGAGTTTACCTTTATAGTGAAAAAGGTATACCTGTAGAAAAAATCACTATTCGTAATGATGGTGGACCTCTTGGCTTAGCTATTTGCGGTGGATCAGATATCAGTTGTCTTCCATTTGGTAGTAAAGAACCAGGTATTTTTATATCCAAGGTAATGATAATAATAATAATAGTAATAATGATTGAAATGTAAAAATTGACGTACATTCATTATGTGTCCTTCTAATAAATGATGAACTATTTTATAACATTTTTTTTCTGTCTTCTTACTGACTCCGTTAAAATAAGACCAGTTATAAATTTATGAACTGAAATACTAAGAATATATTTAAATCTGATATCTATATCACAGTAACAATTACAATACTATTATAGACTTATTTTGGTCGATGATGATGATGATTAGTAGTGGGATGCACATTTCGTCCTACTTCGAACTCGTCAACCAGATGTGCCAGCTATCCCATGGAGTGATGGTATCTCCACTGATACTTGAACCCTGCATCCATCATCGTTTCAAACGCCGAAATAATCAGCTAACGAGAAATGCAAATTAATTTAAATAAAAATTATCATTAAAATATTGGTAGTGGGCAGTCGGTGATTTAGCGGTCGAATGCTCGCCAACCATGCACGTCGTCCGTAGTTCAATCCCTGTCCAACACACTCCTAAGCCCGGTAAAGTGAGAAGGTTGGGCGTGAGGCTTGCAATGCCACCCCACCGCGTAAAACTAAACCCAATACCACCGAGAATCCAAGGCTACAACTTGAAATCTTATGTTCTACTCGGGACATAAAAAAATATTGATAACGGGTGTTGGGGGAGCACGGATTGTTGCAGCCACCAAGCAACTAAATACAGGCATATGTTATATTTTCAATTCTCTTCACTTGAGTGAGTGGATGAATATTATATTTACTAATTTATTGCACTGTATAGCTTACAACGATGAATTCGTCTTCAAAAGGAAAAATTTCTTCGTTAAATCTCCTTATAATTGATCAATTAAGCCATGAGGATATTAAATGTTAAATTAAAAGTTTATTGTGCGATGAATAATCATATAGATATTTAAAATTATACCGGAAATATTAATTAATTACTATTAGCTTTTATAACAGTGAATCATTGCTCTGTTTATACAAAAATCAAAGTTTCAAGTACTCTGTTTTGTTCAGTTGTTATTTATACTTGTTGTTTTTTGTAGTCAAAATTTACCCCATCTCTCCTCCCCCCCCCCCCAAAAAAAAGCACTGAAGTAGACATGACAGTGGTTTGGATGCTCGCCGACCATGCACATGGTCCGGGGTTCGATCCCCGGCCGACGAACTCCTTTACCTCGCTAAGCCAGAAATAAAGCTGGTAAAGGGGAAAGGTTGGGCATGAGGCTAGCAACCCCATCCTGTAAAAATAAACACTGCTACCGAAACTTCAAGCTTCTAGCTTGAAGCCCTATGTTCCACTGGGAACGTGAAGGAAGAAAAAAAAGAAATCACTCCGGTGGTTGAATTTCTAGGTTCAGCAGTAGAATAATGTATGCTATCTATCATATTTTTGTCACTGTTGGCGGAGATTAAGGAAGTAACAGAAATTTAGAAAGATTTCACAATGAGTTGAATAAATTGCTTATAGATTCAGTAAAACAGAGAATCACTCACTGTTATCTTTCAGTATGCTTAGATGATTGTAGGATGTTGTCTTTTATAACTATAGATAATATTGAGACAAGCAACACTTTTAGAAAAATGTAAGCGGTATTCATTCATAATTTTAATCCCTCTTGCCTTAAACACTTTCACAATACATATCATATTACTACAAGTCTACTGTAATACAAAGGCTCTTTAAAAACTCACCCAACTGTGGTAATATCAATCAACAGTGACCTTGTTAATACTGGGTATCATGGGCACCAGCTTTGCACTAGTAATCCGGAGGCTACGGTTCCCAATCCTGCCACGAATCAGATTTTCATTTCACTCTTAGCCGTCAACCAATACATCAGTATCACAATACCATATAACAATTAGAGTTGTGTTTTCAGTAGTTTATTCTCAAAGCCTAATTTTCCTCTGTCTCCTTCAACAATAATCCTTATCCAAATTTTTACTCCTTACAATATTGAATTTCACAGATTTCTGCGGATGGTGCTGCTGTTAATACTGGTTTACGCATTGGAGACAGAGTTCTTAAAGTTAATGGAGTGGATCTAAGACATGCTACACACGATGAAGCTGTTCAAGCATTGATACAACCTGCCAAAGAACTTCAACTTGAAGTACGCAGAGACCCACCCCCTCCCGGTTTAAGGGTAAGTTTTGTACGGCAATTTTGTTATATAATTCAAAACTGTGGGAATATTTAAATTACTCAATTCTGTCTTTTATCTCTAGCGTGTTACAGTGACCAAAAAACCTGGAGAACGATATGGATTACGTATTACAGGTGGACTTAACACTAATGATTGTAGTTTGGTCAATTCTTTGGGATCACGTTTCTCATCACTTGCCAATGATGATGGTATATTTGTAACTTGGGTTACACCAGACGGTGCTGTAGCTCGAGATGGTCGACTGAAGCCAGGCGATAGATTACTAGAAATTAACGGGCACTGGTTGATGGGGGTTACTCTAGATGAAGTATTGCAAGTGAGTTATTGTCTATATACATATATTACATAATATTTAATTAAATTCACATACAACACGAGTTTCGAAACTGGTGATTTATTTCTCCATCGTACGCGAAGCATAGTGTGAATGTTCTTTAAATTTATTCTCCGAAGATAATTACTTTATGAGACGCATTAGTAGACACCACAATTAACGGTATTCTGCATGGTGCTTAGACATCACTAAATTCCAGAAATAAAAGATTGATGTTTAAAGTGTCGTTGCATCCATTTTGATAAGTGCACACAATGTAATGTAGCTAACATCTCTGAATTACTGTTAATCGTGTCTTTCTAACATTTTGGTTTATATTTCCAACAGCTTTTCAGAGAAGCTCAATCAACACTGACTTGTGTTGTCTGTGATGGTCCAGTAGATTTCGCACTACAAATTACTAAGACAACTAATTCAAGAAACACGGAAACACCCTATGCTATGCCGGTTTCTATAATACGTTCTGCTATGCCATCAATTCCTGACGCATCTGTTGACGACAGTTCAACATTGCTACCGCAAGTAGAAATAACCAACAGTATCCATAAACTAAGCCTCGTAAGTCGAAACCATATATGTTTTTCAATCGTTTATTCTTCACGTAATGCGATTATAAACTAGTATTTTGTTTTTTTAAACGCTTAAGGAGGCGGATGAATCAAACTGCACTCTGAATGCACACCGCCCTGCACAAAAGTCGGTGTTCCAACCTGCCAGATCAGAAACGAATAAAAACGAAAATATACATCAGGAGTCTATATTTGTAGCCTCTCCCGTACGTGTTTTCCCCATGACTCAAGCGAAGGAGAGAATGAATTAGGTATTCGATGTTAGAAACGTTTCAGTTTAATTGAAAACTGTTTTAAAAACTTCCCTATAAACAGAATCATTTACACCAGGGTATTTTTCCTTTCTTTCAGGAACCGATTACACGACACTAACGGAGCAAATATTCAGTAGACGTTGATTAAATTACAAACAAGCCATTATACTAATTAATTTCAACATAACAATTGATCTCCTGAATGATGGTTTCTCAAAGTTGGTGATTTCGTTTCCTGTAAAGTGTTGTACAGCACCTTAGGACCCTTTTACTTCCTGTTTAATTTAGTTACGTATGAACAGCTATTCATTCCCACATAACCAGCAGCGCAATAAGTTCTGCGCCTATGTACTTTTTTATGTTTGATTTTTAAAAAAAAATTGTTTGAAGTTTGTGTAAGTTAGTTCTTTTATTTCAAATTTTTTTAGAACTAAGCATTTTTGTGCAGAGAAAACGAAGAAAACATCAGTTAAACTCTGATTAGGTCTAAAAAGTGTACAACTGTACAATCGCTTACAAAAAAGTGTGCATTATTAATTTTGATTGAAGGAAACTGTAAGAAAATAGAATATCAATAGCCGATTCATAGAAGTTAAGAAACATTGCAAGATCACGAAATTTAAACAGAGTACAAAATGAAGAATTATTAAGTTAACAAGGCTTAAGATACACAGTATACCAAAACATCCACCATAAGTATAAACATGTTGAGCGTAAAGAATGAGATCCGATAAAGCATATTATCACACGTGGGAAGTAAATAAAAGAAACCTGGGGGGTGTTTATAATACATCATCCACGAAAGACAAATTCGGTAGATGCTTCCGCACCTCAATTGCGTCCATTAGCTCCTGTAGAGACGTTTGCCTGGAAGAAGGAAAAAAGTTTTTTAAAAGGTAATGTTTTCATCTCAACAATCAGTTTCTAGTGGCGTTACAACAGTAGTTAAGTTACATAGTGTAGTTAGACTTGCTGCTTGTATCATGAAAGCTAGTTGATGAGACTGCTAAAAAGTTACATCATTAATACCAGCATTAAGAAGACAAAAATATTAAGCTCAACTTTCTATCTTCTTAACGGGGGATTTTCGCCGATCTGAGTGATAAAAATTAACTGGTCCATAGTATTGGAGGTGACACCTACCCGTATGATACAGTTTTTCATGCATACCAAACAATGAGAATCAGGTTGTTTTGTTACTTACGATTCCGTTAATTTGTGCAACTTATTCGACATATTATACCTTCCTTGGCTGAGTGACAGGCTAACATTAATGCAAAACCAGGTATGCTAAACAGGTCTTAGCACGTTCCTAATTACACCTGCAATAAAAAACTACGTAGTTCCTCCCACCATTGTGCATGCAACTGTAAAGGATAATCTTTATTTAGAACTTTGATAACTAATCATGTCTTCCATCGACCGTTCTAAACTATTTGTATAGCATCTACTTAAACAGGGCACTGCTAGGTGACTAAGCCGAAGTATTAACAACTCAAATATACATCACATTGAAGTAATTATTTAAAGTAGTACAATGATACCAAAAAAACATGATATATAAAGTATTGAGTAGTAGCGGTAGGTTAAAAACTTTAAGACTCACTTTTCTTTGTGTATGGCAAGTTTTGCTTCACTTATCCGAACTAAAGCACGTAACTTTTTTGACTCCGCTGAAAGCTCTCCGTAGAGAACACTTTGGAGCCGATCGAAATTCTTTGACTCAATTTGAGCCTGAAACAAAACAATTTACTTAATGAGTTATCGCATTTAACTAATGAAAGCAGTGAGAGAAATAAAAAACAATGCGAATAAGAAATGTACAGAACAAGTGCCACCAAGAAACAGACAACAAATTTTATTTATGTAAAGCCTACCTCTTGCTCTAAACGTTGCAAGGACTCGTCATGATAATTGGAAATCAGCACAGGGTCAAAAAACGACTTCATTTCTGTGCTATCCAAAGGATCTGACACTTTACTAAAGCCAGAACTGTTTTCAGAGGGTGGAGCTGGTGATAACATAGGTTTATTCGCGACATCAACTGCCGTGTTAATTGAATTGTTTGAACGAATTGATGGGGAAGCGGAAATGGGACTCTGTAAATTTGGAGTTTCCCTTTTATCTGTGACATCAGATGCGGCCTCAGTCGTTTTCGCGGAATTGCTAATGTTTGAAAAATTGCATGCGGAAACAGGAGACCCTGACGCATCTAGCCCCGTATTTATTCTACCGAATGGATAGGAATCTGTGGCCAAGCGACTGGTTACGTGTGTTCGTGACCTGTTTTGTAAAATAGAAATAATGAAAATTAGTACATGGATCAACAAAATTCCAAACGAATGGAGTGGATTACAATGAACTGCTAGACACTTGTGAAACAAACAAATAATCCAGTCGAAATTTATGAGTCAAAGCGATCTTCGATATTAGCTTATTATGCGAATAATACAAATAAAGCAAAAACTAGACGAAGGTAGAATTTTGCGCAGAAATCAATAGAAGTAGAATCATTATGGTTGGGAATTACTAAATTAAGCAGGGTGAAAACGATCAAAAGAAGGGTTCTACTGCAAACAACAGTTCGGGGAACACTGTTCCAACAGGTAACAGGTGTTATCTGATAAGAATCAAGTATTTGTCTTTATATAAGAATTTGAACTTGTGCACTGTGGTAGAGTATAATTCCATTATGGGTAAAATTTATTTTGATAAAGTCTCAAAGTGTTGTTATACACTAATATTCACTGATGACGACGTTTCCAGCACAATGGTATTGCTCATAATCATACCATAAAAGTTGCAGTTGCCAAATTTGACCGATGATTTTGACTTCATTGACTGATGTAACAGAATAGTGATGCCGTGCGTGTACGACACATTTGCCCATTGCAGTATCAGTCACAACTATATAGTGGTCAGTGTAATAAAATAAGCATGATCTCTACAGATTGGGAATGAGATTTCATCTCAATTCAAATAAACGAGAAATGATTCTGTAATCACAAATGAATTCTTTTAGAAACTGTATATAAGTAAATGCAATGATCACAGATTAAATAGTACGCTTCTCAACTAATAGTCAGCAGTTTTATGGAATAGTTTCGAAATCAGTTGAAAAGGAATCCACATATCCTGTCGAATTAAAATAAAGTTTTCATGATAAGACCAGTATGCTGACAATACATGAAATCAATAGCACGTACGCGAGTAACACCAATCCCATTGACAGATTAATATCACACCAACTAAATTTTAGAAATAACCTAATACCTATATGGCATAAGAGTCATTGTGCACCACTGACAAATATGCTGCCTAATACTGATAGCAATGAGAAGTACGTCATCTAACCAACTATAGTACCAAATAATAAGATATCGAAGCCCCGTAGTGAGCCATACTTATTGTAAGATCTCACGTGAGACTATCCAAGTCTGTATCTATTATTTAAATATGGTGAAGAACAGTTTAATTCACTTTTATGGATTTATAACACCACAGAAGCAAGTCAAAACCAAGTAGAACATAACTCTAAATGCATAAATCATATCTCAAATAAACCTCATCGCTTAAGCTAACTTGCATGCATCTTTATAGTAATGCTATATACTAAGCTACTTGAAACACCACACTGATCAAAAAAATTTTGTCAAAAAGTACTTAGCAATATCAATTTTTAGAATAACCAAACAGTATTTAAAACGGTAGGAAGGCTTTCATCTTGCTTTACAGCAAGTGACAGCTACGCGTACAAAGAGAAACACATAATTCGATATATGGAAATAAAACTTACCCGCTTTGCACAGGAAATGAGCTATCTTGATGTGATGTTGACATAGCACCCCTACTTTCTTGACCTGATAATAAAACATAGCAACACAATAAGTTTAGCAAGGAGCCAAGCTCAACAAAGTTAAAAACCTATATATATATATATATATATATATATATATATATATATATATATATATATATATATATGAGCGATATTGTGTGGAAACTGATGTTACTACTCAGTCAACTAGCTTAAAGAAGGTGAAGCGCCATTCTAGCCTAAGATTGACTGCCTAGACCTTGACGTAGTCTAATCGATTGATCGTATCTTCATCCTTCAACAGACACTACATCAGAGGCATACTAACCGGTGTACAATTCTTGAGATGAGGGCAATATTTGAATATGTTAGTTAACGAGGTACAGTGGCAACAACTGACTCTCCGAAGGGATTGATAAGAAAACATTGTATTAAGTGACACTACTCTAACTCATGCAGCCATATGAGCTTAGAGAAAGTTGTAAGTGGTATTACTCAGAGATGTCCAATGTTATTTGTATAGGTACCCTGCAGGACCAACCAATGTGTCAGGAACTGACTTTTTACCAATAAACAAACAATGGTCCTTCTACTTGATGACAATGGTAAACAATAGGATCTTCTAAACACCTTGAGCATATTTAATGCGTTTCAGCAAATGCGGCATGACGCTGCAGGACTGGTCTGCACCGACTTCCAATGTAACGATAGGGAGTGAAATGATAAAGCATTTTAACCCATACAGTTATTTGGGAAGTTGCGTCAACTGTAACTGACTGCTGACGACATCTCGAAAATGGATATAAAAGGTCTGCGTGTCACTTGTCAAATTGCGCCACCTTTGGAGTAGATATTGTGTCTAGTTATCGACCAAAAGACGTGTGAAGCGATTCGACCACTCCAAATTTACAGTTGGTCGTTGAAGGTAGAATATGCGCAGATCAGTGGATTTCGATCAAAGGTGCCTGAGTTCAGACGAACAATATATTCAGAGATAATAAGATTACACATTAACGTTATTTAAACAAGGGAACTCAACCGATGATGTGGTGAAGCGCCAGATTGCGACTGTTAGGACGTGTGTTAGGTACGCCGAGGGAACAGCTTCAATATTAGAGGAAAGAGAACTTGACTGTTGGTTTGGGCCAAGGGAGGAAGTGTAAACTTCTTGGATGCGGTCTTGGGGAAGTTAAGAATCTACGACTGAGAGCTGATGACGATATGGCTCGAAATCGTCTACTTATTACTTGTTAACATCCAGTTCTGAAAATTCCCAATAATTTCCATCTAATTAACCTCACAATTATCTACAAAGTTTTATCTCAAA